CCTTGGCTAACGTCGTGATCAATGCGCATACAAGTTACGATGTTGAAGTATATCAAAGCAGCCCTCCAGGGTGCTGATGGCCTCTTTGGTTAATTTGAAACCCACTTCCTCTCGCGAGACCATGTCGACATGCACGACATATGCCTCCAAGTGGATCATTCCAAGCAGTCCTTCTAACATCACCCAGCACAATGTCCAGGTTGCCCTCTGTGGGGAGAGAATGCAAATTAAAGTAATTCGTTTGCTGTTTGGGATTGTTCAAAGGATGCCTAGCTCGACTCACTCGCTTAAGAGTCACTGTCAACCACTGAGGGACATTGGCGTCGCGCACCACGCTAGGGGGTGTGCGTGGCGCAAATGCAGCGGCAGAAGATGGTACTAAGGCTTGGGGCATTATTTATGTGAAGCAAATGCATGTTTCTGCGTCCAATAAATGTTGCCCTTTTAAAATACGTAGACTTCGGCGAACATTATCACCATGGTAACACTAGCACGCTTCCTCGGCCATACTTTCCCAAAGCACCGGGGGTAGCAATTTACAAAGTCATGCGAACACGACATTTTGAAAGACCTTGTAATGGCGCTAAGTGGGACTGCATTTGACCCGTAATTGGATGCAGGCAGGGGTTGGCGTGTGCCCTTGTAAATTGAACCTTGGGTCATAGACTAGCCTGGTTGCGTTGAAAAAGACATGTAGGCGGAGCGAACGTTCGGACCAAAGATTCGAGGCCGATCCGGGGAACATCGGAACATCTGGTTTAGGCAAGAGCTCCTCCTATCGGAGTATCCACTGGCCCCTTACAAGGTCGTCTCCTGGGATATTTCTCTTACGCATTTAATACCGCCTTTTAAGCCAGAAGAGAGAATCAATCCCATGGGCAAGAATACAGATAACGCCTTCGAATTCGTTTTGATCTAGAGGCAGGATATAAACTACTTCCTACTCGTCAGGTCTGCTGCGTGAAACTACTTACAGGTAACTTGACCCTTGGCCTACTTGGGCAATTAAGACTCTAACCTAACTAATTATTGTGGCAGTATGTACCATGACGAAAACCCATTCCATGGCACCACAAACTACCCATTCGTGGGAGTCCCAACAGACTACCCATTCGTGGGAGTCCCAACAGACTACCCGTATGGCCCAACATACGCTCCGTTGATGGACTCGGCTCCTACGATCAACCCAGCGAGTAATGTTTATTGGAACTTTCAACAAGCGCAAAACTGGATGACAGCACCTGCGTCGACAACTGTCACTCTGTCTCCCCGGTCAACTCCGAGATATCGAGAAATAAGACCTCGACCGCCACATGGATTAGCGCCCACATTTCCCCCGATGGAGCGTAACAAAGAGTAACAGCACAGCCAGCACCGGGGTTTAGGGCGAGGGAAACAATCCAAGCGCCACAGACAGTTAGACCAAGGACAGGTGGTTCAGAGGACAGCCAAAAACGCACGTCGAACGGTTTCTGAGGTTTCTGATATAACCGAGAAGCCAGTAAGAGATAAAGAAATTAGGTATGTATGGCTGTACTCTCAAACTGGTATCTTGCGCAGTGGCTAAGTCGACTCTTACAGCACAGCGAAACCACCACCAGCTCCGAGACACAATTCAGCTACACAAGCCCCACGCTCTTGGTCGCCTGATTACCCTTCAAATTATCTGGAGGATACTTTTCAGCCTCCAGTAGAGGCTCTTCAGAGAGCCTTGAAAATTCAGATATTACAATCACTCAGGGTTTTGCGTGAGATCGCCAGGCAGTTCCGTGCATTCAACTTGGAACTTAAGATGATTGATGTTTGGGTGGCAGAGATCAAAGAAGTTGACACAACACTGATCCCTGTTCCATCAAGCACCGCGGCCCAGGTATTTGTTTCTTTCGAAAGCCTCAACTTTATCCTCACGGAATGCATTACTGCTTCAGGACCCGTGCGAGGCTTTATTATCAGGAACCAGGCACGGGGGTTGTTGAAATATATACAGACCTATACGGAGGAGTACCACCTATTTCAGAATCCGCGGGTTTATTTTGACATTGGTAGATATATAGAAAGACTCAACCCAGGCAAATATGACGAGAAGGCGAATGATGTTGTTCTCCCGGGAGGTCGCGAATAGTCTTTTGCTCTATACATGCCATTTTCTGCCTAGTTTGTCTTCAAAATTGAGCAACTCTCTTCGAAGTGTTCATTGTATATGCCACATACTCAAGATGTTTAATGCCGTTCTGTCCGTATTGGAGACATTACTGATGCTGTCCCTTTCCTAAAACAAGTTCTAAGCAGCAGTTCCGGCGGTTTCCCCCCATTTGCTGTAACTCTAGGCCCAGTAGTATGCTTCCCGTATATACAGGCTCCGTCGTGACGGGCTCGGTAAGGTTGAACGCCTCCGCATCCCAACACTGCCTTGCCGATATGGTAACAAGATTATACTTGTTGCTCGGTTTCATCGTTCGCACCTTCTCATTCGCACGGTAGAGGGTAAACTAGGTCGAATCGACTTGTTCATGTAAACACCCTGCTGGAATGTCAAGATCATTTGCTCGTGGTTTTCACTTTAGGTAAGCACTGTGAGGCTCAACAGTCTGGATTGCGTTAGGTCTCCCTTGCACAGCGTGCCATCTCATCTAGCGCTCGTTGAAAGGGCCGCCTCGTGCTCGTTTGGCAATTGGGTAAGAAGATAACTCGTCGTATACAGAGAAGGAGGCCAGCTAGTTTTAGAGATATGTAAGTGAGTCTGCAGCAACTGCAGGGATCTGAGAAAATGGAAAGGGGAAGTAAGACTCGGTGAAGAATAGAAAGCGGACGTCCCTTGAGAGTATGAACACATCGTCAATCAAGAGAGAACACTCTTGACTTCCTCCACAGCAAGCCGTCTACCAGTATTTCATTTACTGGCTGTGCAGGCAAGTTGTGGTAGCCTGAAAGGATCTCAAAAGTTCCTCACTTGCGTAGGATGTGCTTCGTAGGCGTCCGTTGCTCGGAAAAAGTCAAATGGTGCTTTCTGTTATGCAAGTGGGCACTTCAAAGAAATTAAAGGCCTTGATTCGTTTGAGTTGGTATATGTTGTTGAATAATCCTGGGAATGCGAGGAAGGAAGCTCGGGGAAAGGATAAATGCATCACTGACTGTCTGTTTTAGGTAAGGCAGACTTGGGTCCTCTGCTCTCCACCTTACCCTGACGCGAGCACCCGAGTATTCTGGCCCTCCTTTTCTCTTGCCACCACCAACTCCCTTACAACCAGACACAGTCCATGCTCTCGCTGCAGTTTTACTTTTTTCGGTTGCCTTTTCAGTAAGTTCGGGCTCGCTGAATCCACAAAACTGTACCGAGAAAAGCTCTTCAGACTCAAGCTTGAACACTAGCCACCGAGACATTTTGCTACCAAATATTTCCTAGGCTGATTTAAAACTCAAGCTGATATTGCATTATCCTAGTTCCAACAATGGCAATCCTCAGACCGACCAAACTCCTGGCCTCTCCCATCCGTCTTTTCGTCACACGATCGCCGTGCATGATTGCTCGAGTTTGTTCGTCCGAAATACTGTATAAAGCCAGTTCCAGTACACGATATCAACATACTGTTCTTTACTTCTCCGCCACCGGTGCGGAGAATCTGGCGTGTGCTCTTTTAGGGCTAGTCTGACCCGGTCAGAAGCGCAGCGACCGCGCGAGAGCACAGCTCTCGCGCGTTGTTGCTTCAAGGTGAGACCCGTCTGACCAAGCTGTCGCATACTTGACTCTGACTCTATCTCTTCTGATCAAAAGACAGTCCCTAAGTACCCTTAGCCGAATGCTACACCAGTCAAATCTTCAACCAGGTGTGTATGGTGGCTTATGAGAGGTCCTCGCAGCAAATGAGGGCTTGTAACGACTTCACAAAGGGGAACAATAAACGATAGAAGCGTGGGAATTTGCCTAGGCTCTAAGACTAATCCGTCTTCTTGTTAGGCAAAAATTACAAACAGTCCAAGATTGTTTGGGGGGCTTAGTTTCCGCAACAAGCTCAAACAAGGTGAGTGTATCTTAATCGCCGGAGTATATATAGGGTATTCAGACACCACCAAGCCCATTCCTCTGTCCTCTTACTCAATCCGCATCACCTACTCGCTTTACGTACTTGCTTGTCATTTGGCAGTCGTTTCTCGATGATACGACGGAGAAATCGAAGAAAGACCCTAACACCGGTTGCCTCTTCAAACGCCCTATTCCGCCGGGTTGTCCTTCCATGACCAACTCTGATCTGGGCTGATTATTGATGATATGAAGGGTGTTCTATATCACATATCATGCAGAAACCATGAGAAGTTTCGTTTCAACAACTTTCTGGAGAACCTATGCTGTGCTGGTACTCAAGGCAATGACAGCGGAACCACGCCACTGGGGATAGCACAAAAATACGTTAATGGTTTAGACGCTGACCGGGAGGTCCTGAGAGGCGGCTCCCAACTTTTGGTACATATCTGGTGTTTTGCGAGTCTGCTTCAAAGTATATTAAAGCAACACAGAAACAGGTGCATGAATCTTGGTATTTGATCAAGTCTACTACATCTTCCCACAAACTTCTCTCAAGAACGTTTCTTTATCCATCCCACCGTTGACAAAAAATGCTCGACGACCGTTGGAATCACGGAAGACCACCGTATTATTCATAGAACCTGCACCTCCGATAATGCCCATGCTTGTGCCACCAAAGGTGCAGTCTTTGAAGGTATACGTCCTTTGATTTTTTTCTTCGATATCCTTTGGTTTCCCTCGAGGGAAGATGGTGGCTGATGCAAGTCAATACCCAAGTCACGTACTCAAATGACGCATCATAGATACCTGAGTGTCTCTGTTCAGCGGAATCGGAAAGACGATGACTGGATAAGGTTCCTTCATGCTGGGATGGTTGCTCGCCAAGTGGGAAAGAAGAAGGCTCAGTAAAAGGTGCTGTGAGAGAGAATGCACTCTCGGGCGAGATTTAGATCCAAACTTACCTGATCCCGATTACGCTTCATGGATCTCGACATTGGCTTTCTGGAATCAACCTGATGGCTTTGGGGCTGGGGCTTGTAGATTTGTCAGAAACAGTAATGTCTGGGCGAGAAGGCCTAGCACGAGAATATGATACCAATTCTTTGTTCTCCAGATGTGCTTGGGTAGAGCCATTCACCAATGTCGAGGCATCACCTGAATCGGGGTTTTGTTGGGATACTGCACCTTGACAGCCGTGCTTCAGCCATCTGATGGTCATGCTGGAAGTTAAGTATCTTCTCGGAAGACAAAATAGCGGAAAGACGATAGATGCCCTGGAATGAGATAATGAAGAGAAGTCAGAATGTGAGGGGGAATGGATCGACCATGGCCCTAAGTGTTAGATTACCCCTAGTAATGTCCACGTACTGTATGGCTTGGCACTTCGTGTGCTCTAGACGTTGGTAATATTGCCCCGTGGGTATCCAGTTTTGGCACATATATCATACGGCTGGCCGTGGAAACAAGTGCAGATCTATCAGGTTGCCGCGGGGCCCTGGGAATAGTGCTCAACCATTAAGACCTGTTTCATGCTAGCGGTTATGTTTCAGACCCAGACACTGACGCCAGTTGCACCTACCTCGGACCAAGCAGCTCACGCAGTATCAAAGTTTGGTTGGCCTTGGCTATCTCCCAATAGAAATGAGAGTATGGGAACATAAAAAAAAAGTAGTTAGAGGCCCTCACCAAGTACAATGCCTTGAGAGCGAGAAAGAAACGCCAAACCCTTCCCCCCAATCCTCGATAATAAATGCCAATCCTACTCCCCGGAAAAGTGCAACCATCATTCCATTTTTACCCACCATCAAATATACCGTTCATTGTTAAGGAAGAACCTGACGTGGTCTTTTCCCCATATACTTGGGGAAGCTGACGGGACCATTGGAAAGCCTCCACTCTGTATCAAGATGGGCACCCAAGTTCAGATCGCATTTGGTCAGATGAGTTACCCAAGTTCATATATCTCACCACAATACAATTCCAGATAACCTTCGGTAGTGGACGACAGGTTTCTTGAGGCTTGCTCTCAAAACTACGACTTCATCTACGAACAACATCCTCTAGCACCCCTTTTGGCAGCAGCACTCGCGCCCTTTCCCTCTCCCACACCCTCGCCCCCCAACTATCCACGATCCGACCTCGACCCAATGAATACGGCCCCGACGCCGAAAATGGCGAGGAGACACTGCAACATAAGCCTCGGAAACGTCGAATAAGTGAAATGCACCGGTAGAGCCAACGGCTGCCACAAGCGAGAAGCGGCGAGTCAAAGTCCGCCCAGCTAGAGGCGGATGACAACGTGGTCTCTTCAGGTAGACCCGGGAGAGAGAGGTTTAAATTACCAATCCGTTTGATATTCCACATACCCAAATTCTGACTCAATGACCATAAAATTCAGTTCCACACTCTTCAGCCAAAATACGAATTCCGACCTCCATTCTAGCAGTCAAGAACCTTCCTTCGCCCCTTGTCTATTTCCACCTTCAAACAACCATACAAGTTCGGCGAGAAATCGTTCACTGCATTCGCCCACTGATGCTTTTGAAGCGCTTGTTCCCGGCCGGGTGAATGCAGCGTCACTGTCTTCGAAGTGCTTGGTGATATCTCTGAGGCTTTTCAATAGCAACACATATTCGAAGTCTACTCTACACAATAATCCAAGAGATACTCGGTCAAAAGGTTGAAAGTACGTTTGAGTAAGAGTTTTTTGATTTCCAAGATTTCTGGCTTTCGTCGATATATTCCTTGACTGTCACGTACGACATGGCACTCTTCCGCTGGCAACCCCTCACGCGCGTCTTCTGATATCCATCAACAGGACCAGATCACTTCTCGAGCATTGATTCCAGTCTTTGAGAACGCCGATCAGTCGTTCTTGGGTCTGTTCCAAAGCCTGTTCAAAGGAATACAGACGAGATAGCTGCTCATCGGGACGAAGCTGGAGCCCGTCTCGCTCGTTGCTCAATTTGGTGGTAGCTTCCTTCGAAGTTTTGTCATTTTCCTCTGGTATCTCGCCTTCGAGGTGTTTCGGCACACACGAGGTCCATAGACGTCGGTAGAGTCCGACGGTTCGAGCCGCTTGAAAGGCGAGTTTTGGATCATCGCGATCGAGATCTGCCAGTGTCTCCAATATGGGTTGAAACTGCTCGATCGCCAGGGGTTTCTTTGGGCTTGCTTCCTGCTGCTACGAGAGAATTTAGTGATCAGCCACAGTATAGAACGTGTCATTGCATCTAGCTTACCACTGGGGGTTCGGAATCGGAAACAGCCTGTGGATAGGCCTCATCACCCTGCATAGGCATTTCACTCGGCTGGCGGTCTCCCCTATGTTGGTCGGGAAGTTGTTCTGGGGCATCCATCGTTTCCACTTGCAAAGATTCAGCGTCCAAAAGTATACTTTCCACCTGGCACTGGTCTCTCTTATAGCCTGTCCAGAGTCAAACAGTTAGTTCAACGCCGTTACAAAGGTGGCATACATACATCGTTCAATGCAACCCAATGACCCAACACGTCTTAAAGACATCGCTGAACATCTACTTTCAACATATGAATTTGTGACCATCGATTAATTTCTTTGGTTGGTTTGAGTATTCTTGTACTTTCTGCTCATCATTCGATGTGAAATCTGAGGGACCAAGAAAAGGAAGCCCGACGGAAAAATGCTACGTTGATTCTATGGTGACCGTTGTGACAATAAAAGATTGTCGAGGTCATTACCAGCGTCCTCATTTTGCAACCGTTGAACAATAATAGACCCCGATATTGCACGGCTATTGAAAAAAATATATTGTATATGTGTTTTACGACCATGCGTGTTTTTAAACGGTTTCTTCGCGCTATCTTGCGGTCGTCTACGAAAAAGTGCCTCTTGCGTTTCGCCCAACTTGACCGCAGGCCAATTTTTGGTGCTTTGAGGTCGTTGAGTCAACGTTGGGCCCTCCAGTCGGTCAACATTTCTTCACAATAACATCTCTTCTCGGTCACCCACCAGAATGTGGTTTGAATGTGTCGCTTAAGCGAGTAGAAATAGAATCCAGACATATCAACAGGCCTCATTTTTAGTAGCCACCCTCACAACTATGCTTTAACATTTGACACCAACCAGAAGCATGCAAGTGACAAGATAAGCCGAAAAGTCTATAAATATATCTTCTACCGATGGGCTGTTGCCCAACAAGACAACTGCATGGCTGTTCCAACCCGAGCAGCTCCTACGTCCCAAGACATCAGGTTTAGTTCATCCCAGATTTAGTTAACCGCGGGCATCTTCACAGTACTAACAAAGATAGAATACGTCGTGGATAACGAGTCAGGTGGTAACCTTGACGTGCTTAATCTGGCTACCCGTGTTGTGCCACGCCGTGTCAGCCGATAAAAGATGAAGTCGAGACGTTTGTCTGTCCTATGTACTGTACATATGCTAGGTAAGTTATCTTTCTTCCTGTACAAACGCATCCTGCCCCCAGGTTGTTACGCGAGATGAAAAGCGGGATTATTCATGTCGCAGGTATGTGAGGTGCCAGCCCAAGCATGTCTGATGTTGTACTGTACCGATATGGGATATGCTGCCGGTCACACACCCAGACCCGTATGAATTCGGCCGCTGTTAACGAGCACGACCTACATTGAGCCCACGTCCATGTACTTGGCGAAGGTCGATAGTTGGGACGAGAATATTCCTTGACCACTCGAACATGTAAGGCATGCAACGCCACTCCTCGTAGTCAACACATTGGCTTTGTCTATCTCTCTGGAATCATTAGCTTTAGCTTCAACCTGGATCCTATTAACCGGTGCAACCAAAGCCGTAGTGCCAAAAAGTAGTCTCTTTGAAGATCACCGTTGAGATTCCTCACCATAATCCAACGCTTTGTAGATTCGTTTCAAATGAGGTGGTATATTGATGAGGTCTTGAAGCAGAATGCTTATTCGGATTGTCAAATTTGTTAGAATCGCTGCAAAACGAAGGAACAGCTCTTAGCACGTATGAGTACACGTGGAAGCACACTGACTATAATGACAATTTCCTTTTTTAAGAATAAAGACAATCGCAAAATCCGATGATTATTTTCGAAGAATGAGGGAGGGAGGTGGAGTCCAAAAAGATGAGAGAGGTGCGACAGATAGGGTCATGCAAAGTAATGGACTTTGATGTAGAGTTGCTAAGATAATTTACCAATTGATTTTCCTGATTGGAATCAAAGCACTCACGTTCCTGTTGACAGCTCTAACAGCATTAGAACACACCTCTTTGCCCTAGGAGCTCTGTTGCTCCCGGGGGCTCCGAGTCGGTTTTTGGAAGTATGCAAGCCGCGTCCAGAAACCGCTTAGCCCCTAGGAAACCCAACGTAGCTTCTGGGACCTTATCCCTGTACCTCGGGGAATCAACGTCATATTCCTGTTGATAGCTTATTAATTCCTGGAGCCTTGAGTCCGGTTCCTAAAACCATAGGCTAGGCATCTGGGAATGATAAAATGACTCAGATTTGTGCATTGGTCTGGAGAAGGTGTTTTGTGAGTTAGTACCCTACCCTGGGAGGCAGAAGATTGACTCCAGGATTCAGAGATACGGCCCTAGGAGTGCAACGGCTCCCGGGTCCAGGCAATGCGTTCCCCAAACCAATTTCGTGTTCATTCAGGAACGTAGAGTGAAGATCCCAGGAGTATATTAGTTTCCTGGGATACACAGCTCCTATAAATGCTTTTGAGGTTTCCAGGATCAAGCTCTATCAGCCCTGGAAATGACGGCTTGGCCCTGGGAGCAAGGTAGCTCCCAGGGGCTTCAGTGTGGTTTCTGGGGGCAAAGAAGCCGCTTCCAGGAGCCAAGTAGCCCCCAGGAAGCCCAAAATAGCTTCTGGGGTCTTGTACCTCCACCTCGAGGAACCAAAGTCATGTTCCTGTTGACAGTCTTATCAACTCCTGGAACCTCAGGTGCGGTTCCTGGGGCTATAGCTTGCCTTTACAGGAGTCGTTGAATGACTCATATTTGTGCGCAGGTCTGGTAAGGGTATCTTGTGAGGGCTTTCCGCCACCTCAGAAAGCAGAATAATGAGTCCAGGATCCAAAAGTAGGGCCCCAGGAGCACGGCAGCTCCCAGATCTAGCCATTGTATTCCCAGAGCCAGTTTGTAACCAGTCAGGATCGTAGAGTGGATTCCCAGGGGTAGACCTCAAATTCCTAGAAACAGGAACTGGTCCCAGGAGCTAAAGAGAAGTTCCC